TAATCCACCAAATTGAGCGACACCTCCACCATTGTGTTCAATGAGTCGCTACCTCACAACTGACCCGGTTGAACTTCACTGGTCACTGCTTCTCACTAGAACTCCAGGATATACCTGATGAAGCCAGTCACTAATGCGCATATACTGATTAATATCAGGAGGGGTTGTTGTGGATATTGTAATAATTTTAATAGTTAAGGTCATGAGTCAATTAAAGTTAGTCCACCATGGAAAACATGGAAGCACTGGACGGTCGTTTCGTCCTATTGTAGGTCCTAGATTCGAATCCATGCTAGGCGGGGTCGTGGATGCGCACTGCTGAGGAGTCCCACGATAGGACGTAACGGCCATCCAGTGCTTCCAGGTTTTTAATAGCGGTCTAATATCAATCGATTCATGATCTGAACTGTTGAAATCACTACAATCTCCACAAAACCCCTTCTGATTCTTAATTTGACGTTGGTTATCCAATTAAGATCAATTCATGAACTAAACTATAAAACTTAATAATCTCAACAAATCATTTACATTAACTTATATTTTCATTCATCTAAACAATTCACTTACAATAAATGTAACATAAATTATAGACTTAACTAAAAGTGTTTTAAGTATTTTTGAAGTAGATTTTTCTTTTTTTTTCTTTTTTCTTTTCAAATTTATTAGCGGTATTTATGAATAGTTAACAACTTTCTAAAACAAGAATGAACCATAATCAATGATAAATAATCAATATTATTAAGTAATTTGTTTCAGTTCTGTCGAAAAACAATTCGACACCTTTCTTTGGTTGATAAGTTAAATCAAATTGGTGTACATAAAATGTTACTTGTAGAAAATTTCATTCTTTCATTTATTTCAGTCAATAACATATATCAGATGGGTTTTGTGGATATTATAGTGATTTCAGTGGTTAAGATCATGAGTCAGTTGAAACTAAAGCACCATGGAAAACCTGATAGCTCGCGAGATCAGTAGGTCGTGGGTTCGAATCTCGCAGGGGCGAGGTCTTGGATGCTCAGTGCTGAGGAGTCTCACAATGGGACGAAACGGCCGTCCAGTGCTTCCAGGTTTTTCATGGTGGTCTAGCTTCAACTGACTCATGATATTAACCACTGCAATAACATATATAATTAGTATAATATTTACAATAATATTTACAACCCCTTACTGATAATTATCATATGTTCAATAGTGATTAGCTTTGAGAGGTAATTCCTTGGAGTTGTAATGAGAAACTGTGATCAGTGAAGTTAATCCATGACAGGTAGAGATACATATCTATCTTAGACAATGGAAGATAGTAATATTTTTTTGTTTTAGTAAAATTATCCTTGTTAGTTTTTATTTTCATTAATTCATATTTCTAAATGAAGGTTACATAATTATGACACTTTTCTTAATGTATAGGTTTTAGTTTAAAAGTGTGAAGCTGACATTTCAATAGTCTTTAATAACAGCTCCGTTAAAACGTCTTTGAATGTCAACTTGGTTGGTGTCAGTTCAAATCTCAATAGCAGTATCAATTCTTAAAAGATTGTCAACTATCATGAAATCTAAGGTTAAAGAAATAAACTTTTATTCTGATTTATTATCAGTAAAAATTGCTTGAAATATAGAATATTATGCATAAATTTTGCTCCAATACAAATAGTACAATATATTTTCAGTGAACGGTACTGAGTTCGAGTCCCGGAGCGATCATCAACTCTGAGATGAGGGTACATTCAGTTGACAAGTACTAAATAAGACGAAACATGAGTCCTGGATTCTACTGTTAGCCACTATCCATCTTTGCTTATAACGCTTGTGACTTCAGGCAGTATTGAAGCAGTTTGCACAGGAAGTACATATGCCAACAAGAGAGTGATCAATCACAGTCCTAAGCATCAATGGGAAGAATCAAGTAAACAATACCAAGTGAATTTATTCAGAAATGATTTATCTTATATGTACAGATCATTCATAATTACATTATAAATGAAATCTCGTCTCTTTAATTCTTGTACGCTACTAATCAGTCATTTCATTGAAATTCAGTAGTTATCCTTCATCCTCCCATTCTAATGATTGAAAAATACTAATTTTTAATGTAGAGTAACGTCAAAATTCAGATTGAGGAAATACCTAATGGGAAGTAATTGAATATGAATTTATCAGTATAGGGGTTGTAGAGATTGTTAAGTTTTGGTTGAGATCATGAACTGATTGATGTTAGACCACCATTGAAAACCTGGAAGCCGTGACCAATGGAGCTAATCCGTGTCGGGTAGAAAGAGGTGTCTACCTCAGTACAATGGAAGATGGTTGCGCAACTTCGTAGATTGGTTGATGTTGGACACTAACACCGCCGGATGCCGGCTCACGTTTGCCCGTGAGACCGAAGGCCCTGGGTTCGAATCCCGCGAGCGGGATCGTGGGCGCGCATTGCTGAGAAGTCCCACAATAGGACGAAACGGCCGTTCAGTGCTTCCAGGTTTTCAATGGTGGTCTAATATCAATGGGTTCATGATCTCAATCCAAATATGATTTTGATTAGTCTGTAGGTTTTAAAAAAATAAAAACAGAATAATCAGTTACTTTACTTGAAACAATCAGTACTTAACAACACAGAATCTGGTATACATCTGGATTAATTCAAGTTACTACATCCTATCAATAGAATAGTATGAGATTAACAAACCAGATCCCAGCGGAGGAAGAAATTAGGAAGAAACACTGGAAGTGGATAAGATATACATTGAGGAAAGCACCCAACTGCTATACAAGACAAGCCCTCACATGGGATCCTCAAGGACAAAGGAGAAGAAGAAGACCAAAGAATACATTACGCCGAGAAATGGAGACAGACATGAGAAAAATGAACAAAACTGGACAAAACTGGAAAGGAAGGCCCAGGACAGAGTGGGTTGAAGAATGCTGATCGTCGGCCTATGCCCCATTGGGAGCAACAAACGTAAGTATGTAAGTAAGTAAAACGCAGGATTTTTATGTAAATTAAGAATTGAATAATCACTATGAATTTTTCAGGCTAATAAAACATAAACTGTACCACATATGTTTATATACTTGTCACATAAGTAAACTGAACGTTTTCAATAAAATCGAACAGGATAAGAATTTAGATGGTTAATGTGAACTGTACTGTAAACATACAACCGTTAGCATATATGTGTTATTCAGAAAAAAATATAAATTTTCAAACATATGTTAATCATTTGGTATTCTTTAGTTCCATCAGTTAGATCTTTGGGTCTTGGATCATTTTATGTTGATACTGTTATTCTGGATCAGTGCTTACTTGATGTTGAAATAGGTTATTTATATATAATTCATGAGTCATAAATTAGTTCACCATAGATTTCTTTATCATTTTTTTCTTTGTATTCAACTTAACTATCTTGTTCAGTTGTTATGATCATATGGTTGACTGAACATTTTTGTAAGGGTTGTTAGATTAAATCAATCTAGATGTGTCTATCTTTTGTCAACTGATCGGAATAAAGCGAGCGTTGATGATGTCATTCAGAATGATAACAAAAGCTTTGCAATTAAACCATATATTTCAGAGAATTCGACAATTCTAAAGCGTTCAACTTCGATCATTGGAGTTTCCAGAGCATTGATCATTTAATTTGGAACCACTGAAATATCAGTTCTTATGTTTGACTCAGAGTACCAAGTAACGATGCCAAGTACATTGATGAGGTAGTAAATCTTTATCAACTGGAATGGTTGGGACATGTACTACACATACCCAACTATTATCCACCACGATGAGTCATGACGTTTGAGAAAGGAATAGGTTGGAAGAAGACTAGAGACGACTAAACCAAAACGTGGTATCAATCCATGAAGTTATCAGCAGTTGAGAGAACGAAAAGCGAATGTCCGGCGCTTTAACCGGGTTGGTGGACACGGAGAGTCCATCTAGGGGAGTTGGAAAACTCTGATTCCAAACCAATGGTGCACACTTGCTCCAAGATCCTGAAGGAACAAATGGCGTACGAATCAATTATTGGTCACCAGCTACCATAGGACTGCATCTTCTGACGTTGCTCTATTGTCTTGTAGGTCAGACCTGTAGATCGAAGGCTCCGGGTGTGGCTTGCTAGGAAAACTGCCTGCTTCAATCTGAGGACCCGGGCAATATCACAGCCCACACACAAATCAAGTGACTCGTGTGACACATATGTATTTGGTACCTCTGTTCAAATATTTATTGGTCCAATAAATAAATAGCAGTTATATTGAGCCATGTAGGTATACACAAACTACGTATTTCAAGTGTGCACCATTATCTTCTCTTAGGTCCTAAGTTTATAAATTTCTTATACAGTTTGATTTTTCATTCCACTAGTTTTAATTTTCTTAAATCCTTTCCTCCAGTTCTAATCTATTGCCACTTATACTGTGGTGTGTGCTACTTATATCTACGTAAGTAGTATACAACGCCAGTCAGGAATAGAATGTCTGGCAGCAGACGATTGAGAAGATAGAGAAGAAAAGTACAGAAACAGAAAGCAATTGGTATGGAAATACTGGAATGATTGACTGATATTTACAAAAAGAACAGTCAAGTTTAAGACAACTGATTGACATTTTATAAACTAAATATACACTGTATGATTCTTAGATTTTACTAAAATGTTCTATAATTTTGTGCTCAACTACAATCAATTGTTCCCAGTTGTGTTCTCGTTCACTACACTACTATATCTGAATTTCTCCTGATCACTCCATCTCATTGTACTCATAAGGTTTTGCAACATTAACCAATGGAAACATGTCCCAAGTTTTCATGTTGCATATGACTGACTGACTAACTGACTGACTGACTGACTGATTTACTAATCTTAACTGTAAATCACCTTCTCTATTTCAACTGTTATACAATAGAAGTTAATAAACATTAAACATTCTAAATAAGTATACACTTACATATACAAAGTACAAATATCACTTTATATACAACAAACAAAGTATCAACAATCACTTACTATAAATCCACGATACCATTGTTTAATTTGTTTTTTTGTAAAATTTGTATTCGTTCTTAAAAATTCTAAATCTTCTTTTGGTAATTTTTTTCTTGATCCTAAAATGTTACCCATTTTTTTCTTTTTTTCTTTTCTTTTCTTTTTATGTTATCAATTGCATTTAATCAAAAACGGAAAATAGAATTTTTGGAAATCTAAAGTGACAAAATAGAAGGAAGGAAGGGGGAGAAAAAGAAAAAGAAAAGAACATCAGCATTGAACATTGAAAACAAAACAAAAAACAGTTCGTTAGAATTTCACCAATGAACCTATTCAGTATTGTGAATCTTGAAAGGATTATATCATTAAAAAATTTAATCTTGAACAAGCACTACTCATAGTAGTATAGGGATTTGTGTAGTTTGATGATAGATTGATATTACACAAGTTGAAATCATGAGTCAGTTGAAGCTAGACCACCATTGAAAACCTGGAAGCACTGGACGGCCGTTTCGTCCTGGTATGGGACTCCTCAGCAGTGCGCATCCACGATCCCGCACCACGCGGGGCTCGAACCCAGGACCTACTGGCTTCGCGCGCGAGCACTTAACCACTAGACCACTGAGCCGGCATCCAACGGTGTTAATGTCTAACTTCAACCAATCCACGAAGTTGCGCCACCGTACACCATTGTCTTCAGTGAGTTGTTATCTCACAACAGACCGGTTGGACTCCACTGGTAACGGCTTCTCACTAGAACTCCAGAAGTTTTTCCTGAAGTCAGTCACTAGTGAGCAGTTGATTATTATCAGAATGGGTTTTGTGGAGAGTTTTTTAGAAATTTCACAAGTTAGATAACTATTAAAGATCAAAAAGCGTTGAATGGATGGATGTGTTCACTATTGACTAATTTTTTGTGAGTTTAATAAAGGTTCGTAATGACCATGTTGCATGTGAGGTAGTTAACTACCAATGAGATTGAAAGATGGTTGATTAATATTGTGAATTGATTGAAGTTAGAAATGCACACAATTGGATGGTGGGTGAGTGGTTTTAAAGTTAAGCAGTTACCACGAGACCTTAAGTTAAAGTAAAAATTATGAACTATTAGAGTTAAGCTCAATGGTCTAAATATAAGATACTAACCACTGAGCCTGACAGACTAATATTTGATCTATGATGTGGTCGTATGTGTGTGTGTGTGTGAATGTTCCTAGAGAATATCATAACAAGTTGAAACAGCTAGATCTTCAATGCTGGTTTAATTATGCTTTGTATGAGACGTAAATCATTTTCAACTTAAAGTAAGAAAAGATCAAATTATCAACGAATCCATTATTAAAAATAGCTATTCCATACTTAGAAAACACCATCTCATGTATGAATTTCTCAACAGTGAGAATCTTTTGTTTCGTCTTCCGTCCAAAAAATTCCTATTTGTTTATAGATACTCAGTGTAGTGAGCAAAAACAAACGAACACTTAAAGTCAACAAGAAGTCAAGTTGGAATAAAATTCACAAAGTTACTTTAACTGTTGTGTGAAAAATAATTTAGTTGTCAAAAGTTAAACAAGCTAGTTTGAAACATATAAGACAAACGAAATACAATTCTAAATCACCAAAACTAATTGACGTAAACGCATTTAATATCGATATAATTTTATTCTGTCTGTTATTACTTGAACACTTTAAACTTCATCTACAAAAACCCTAGATAGTGGACAAAATGACATATAAATGAACAAACATAGATATTCAGATCAAAGTTCGTAAGGATTTTTGATTGAGTTCATGAACTGATTAGTGTTAGGTCGCTATTGAAAACCTGGAAACACTGGATGGCCGTTTTGTCCTGTCGTGTGGCCCCACAATTCCGCCCACGGGATTCGAACCCAGGACTCATCGATCCCACGCTCAGACGCTTAACCTCTAGACCACTGAGTCGTCCGACATTCAACTGTGTTCATGTCTAACTTCAACCAATCCACGAAATCGCTCGACCATCCCCCACTGTACTGAGATAGATACCTATCTCTACTCGACATGGATTAAGGATTGTTCAGTAATAAGTTGCCATTGATCAAGAGGTAAACTTAGTTAGAAAACCTTTCACAGACTGAACAACAATTACACTTAATAGATTACTAAGTCATAACTAATATTATCTTTATTTAGTCTTTAGTGTTAATCTAATTCATTGAAGAGAGTTCTAATATCATCATAAATCTGGGTGACTTGATATTGTATGTTAGATGATAGTTGGAGGTTGTTTTGTATTTTCGGACAGTTTTTCCAATCATCTAATAACTAAACAACATTCGTATATCACCTTTTTCAACATCCTATAAAGAATGTCTCCATGACTGTTGCTAAGACGGATATAGAATTAAATTTTAAAATGAATAGAAAGAATCAAAATTATTTTATTGAAAAAAAAAACCATTCAGATCAAATGAAAACTACCTATTTATCATCGATTACTGAAATAAAAATTAAAAAATAGGAACCCAATCTATATGGGAAAGTAACTTTTTTTTACCACATTCTAACTCTCATTCTAAATGCATACAGATTTCCGTTTGTTTCCGTTTTTTGTTTGTTACATTTCAGTGTATACTAACACTAATCAAGTGAATGAATTCATTGTGTGTGTGTATGTATGTATGTATGTATGTATGTATGTATGTATGTATGTATGTATTAGTGAATACATGGAATATTAATTCGATAATATTTTATGCACTGTTGAAGCATTGACAATCCACGAACTTAAACTTGAACTTTGCGTGCAGAAACGATTCGTCCAATCTCTCATCCTTCCTTGACCTTAATTCCCTTAATCGTATGTGCTACTGATCTCGATAAATATAAGTAGTATACATGATTAGTCGAAAGTGAAATAACAATGTTATAACTTTCATTCTAAATACATACCGATTTCTGTTTGTTTCATTTCAGTATATGTACTAACACTATTCAAGTGAATAGATTCATTGTGTATGTATGTAGGTATGTATTAGTGAATACATGGAAGATAAATATAATTTGTTCCTAATTCATTTAAAATATCAACATTATACGATAATTTATTTCTCGTCATTTTTTTTTCGTTTTTCTCTATTCCTTTTCTTTTTTTCTTTTTCTCTATTTTTTTTCTTTGCACTTAAATAAAATTTTTATCTATTTAAAATTTGATAATTTATTATCATGAATTTACTTTGCACAAAACTTCAATTGTAATTTTTGTACATGACCAACAGGGAATTGAAGACCAGCACGGGCTGACCTTATTTTAGCCTTACTACGAACTTTCCCACCTTTACCGCGTCCATGCATTATTTTAAGAAGTAGAGAAACGTGTATAGTGTATATTACACTTCATTTACTCGTTTACAGCTTATTTTAAAATGAATTAACTAAGATTAAATTGAATTGTAATTAGAGAGTTGGTGTTTGTATATATTATAAATGTGTATAGTTTAATCTATTTGTGTACTTTTAATAGTTGAGATCTTTGGCGGATTCATATAACGACAAAGATATAGAGTCTCATACTAGACCGAAATTATTGTTAAGATTCTTCTGGCTTTTAATGGGTCAATGAGTCAATTAAAGCTGGACCACCATGAAAAACATGAAAGCACAGGACGACTGATTCGTCCTATTGTGCGACTCCTCGGCAGTGCGCATCCACGACCCCGCCTCGCGGGATTATAACCCAGGACCTATTAGTTCGCGCCAGGTGCTTAACCAACTAGACCAATGAGCCAGCCAGCCAGCATCCAACGATGTTAATGTCTAACTCCAACTAATCCACAAAATTCAGTGACACATCCACCATTGTCATCAGTGAGTTACTATCTCACAACAGACCCGGTCGAACTCTACTGGTCACTGCTTCCCACTAGAACTCCAGGAAATACCTCTTGAGGCCAGAATAGAAATGTTAACGAACAAATCTTAAATCAATAGCTGAAAAATTAAATGCTCACATTGAAGCATGTAATTCATGGATACATACTGCTAAATGGTCCTATCTTAGGAAGATATAGTTATCTAATAGTTGCAAAATTTTTTATAACTGCACAACTAGAGTCAGTCTGTGATGAGAAACTATAAATTCAATATACTCCATAATATCTTATACAGATAGTTCTTTTTCTTTTTTTATTAACTTATTAGTATAGTTGTTATGCATTGAAATTCTGATTCAAAGTCAACTCCTGACCGATTAACTTGAATATTGAGAAAAAATGAAATGAAAGAAATTTCTTTGTTGAAGTGAGTAAATGATTTAAGTAAAATTGAATATTCAATGTTTTATACGAAAGACAGATGATCAGTACCATTTTAATTAGTTTTAAGACATAAACTATTGTCATTTCAGACACTTGCTAACTAGTGTTGGGGATGGTTGGAAGAAAGTTAAAGGGGGCCAAACCAAAAACGTGGCATTAATGCTTGAAGTCGCTAACTTCTAGTCTTAGAAATGTTAGTAGATGAAAATTACTTGGTTGGGATCCGCGTGACTATCGTAACTATTGGTTAGAGACTGTTGGTGACATGGCTCAGAATCGATCAAAATGGTATCTGTGTCTTCCCTTAAACTAAGAGATTAAATTCGCTTCATATCTTTCTTTCTACGAACTGGTTCTTTCTTCCTGTACTATATTACCACCACTGAATTGACTACTTCTATGAATTTGGTGTTCATCTTGTTGTGCTAATGAGGTACGGCGACTTGGACCGATGCATATATTTTACTGGTCCTACGTTGTAGCTGACTGACTGACTGACTGACTGACTTCAGATACTACAGAGATATAACTTATATTTAAAAATATAACACATTCGCTCTATAAATAAGTGTTGTGTTTGGTTTCAGCCACTATTAATATCATGTGATGCAATTCTAGTCATACCAATAACATATATCATACTGGACAATAACTTTCTACACACCACATATATTTCATTCACTATAATTGAGTGAATTCCTCAATCCCACTAATTCTACTTTTGAAATTACTTGTAATTATTACTCATGGTTAATAATATATTGAGAAAGTACCGAACATATCTATTTTATCGGCGAGACTATAATTTATGGACGGACAAATCACGGATAAGATAAC